ACCAGAGGAGTCGCCCCCTGGTGGACATTAGAGAGAATGCAGGTTTTAGGACTTCCAGAGGTTGCTGCCTGGTGGTTCCTCATTAAGTCTGGTGCAGCTTGTTGTTGTTTTGTTACTTTGAAACCTTGACCACCTGCTCCTTGCCCGTCTCCTCCTCAGGTACAACGGCAACCTGAAGCCGAGCAGCTCTCTGGCTCTGGAGGAGGACGAGGGCTTCAGCGACTGGACTCAGCGTCGAGAGAGACAGAGGCAGCAGCGCCTGCAGGAGCTCAGCCAGGGAGGCGAGGAGGACGAGGACGAAGAGGACAGGATAAACAAAGCTGTTCCCGTCAAGACCTCGATCATGTCCTCCAGCCGACTCCAGAGACAGGAGCACCTCAAAGAAGACGGGGTGGAGATGGAGAGGAAGGAGCGCGATGAAAAGAAGATTCAAACTGAGAGGGTGAGGGAGGAAGAGAAGAGGAAGAGAGAGGAGGCGACGAACGGGAGGAAGGAGGAGATTCAAAGGCCGAATACAGAGGTAAGAGTTTGTCTCCAAACAAGTGTGATTTTTTTTTTTTTTTTAAGTTTTTAGTTAATTCTAAACTTGTCTGCATCTCAAGTCTATAATCATTAAAGAGAAGACTTGGTCAAATCTTATTTAATACAAGTTAGTCATCTGAGACAGATATACGTCAAGTCTGAAGTAATTCAAGAGAAGACTAGTCATATTTCAACTTGTTCACGAAAGGTCTGAATCAATTTAAACAAGTCCAAGTATCGTCAAAGTCAAGTCAAAATAGTTCCACACAAGTCTGTTCAAGTCTCAAAGTTATTCAAGACACGTCACATTTGACAACAATTATGTGAGACTCGTCTAATTTCTATTTCATGTTATTTTAGTCCAAGTCAGATAAAGTCTTTATAAGCAAATTACAAGTCAGCATTCAGGTTTTTAATGTCTGTGACTTAAAATGACACAGAATGTGACTGAAGAGAAGATCTGTTGAACTCTTCAGGTGGAGAAAAGAAAAGAGGTTCAAATCTCCTACACGTCCAAGGTTTTCCTTCACCAAGAGCCAAAACCCACGAACACCAACGGAGACGCAACCAAAGAGGAAGTGACGTCGTACAAGAACAACAAGACGAGAAGGTCCACCAGGTGTGTAGAGTGTTTTAAGTGAATGTTCCCAAATAAATGGTTATCTACAGCCATAAAACAGAGTATTTACAAAGACAGAATGTCTCTGACTATCATAGACTATAGTGTCCACATCGTTTTGGCCATATTGTCTAGAATGGATTCAAAGGGCAGTTCACCGGCTAACAGACTCGGCTCAGGTCGGTAATAACAGCAGATCCTAATATCTAACACACCTCCCCGGCGTTTGCAGCAGAGCCGTGGAGCCGGGGGAGGCGGAGACCATCCTGGGGACGGAGCAGCGGCTGGAGAAGATCCGGCAGAGCCTCCAGCAGAAGGGGAGCCAGGAGCCGGAGCAGCTCAGACACCGACAGGTGGAGGCCGAGCAGGAGCTGGAGGAGCTGAAGAGGAGGCGGGAGGACAGGCGTCGAGCCCGGGTGGAAGAGGAGCGCCGGAGGGAGGAGGAGGAGGAGGAGGAGGAGGAGGAGGAGGAGCAACGGCTGGCCAAAGAGGAGGTAAGCAGGCCTGTTGGCACTGCGGGTTGAACCTCATGGCTCAGATTATATAAAAGCATCTCTAGAGTCCTAATGTCTGTATAACCATCGTATTGGCTGCTAAACTAGTGGATGGAGATACTGTGTATGTGTATATATGTGTGTGTGTGTGTGTGTGTGTGTGTGTGTGTGTGTGTGTGTGTGGACCATTGCACGAGGAGATTTTCTCAATCTGGACCTCTTGGAGTTTTGATTGAATACCCCCCGATCAAATGCAAAACTTCTACACCTAACTTTTTTTTGCAGAAACGTACAACGACAACATTTTCTTCCTGGCGACTGAGCTGAGATGTGTGAATAGCACACTGCTGTTAACCAGCGTATAATAAGACAAGGTGTTGTTTAGCTGGATGTAGAGTTCATCTGCCCTCTAGTGGTCAAAAAGATTCTTATCTTTTATGTTTAGAGGCTTTCTTTCTGCAGCACTGACAGCTGATCAGACTTGTGCAGTTGATGTAGAAGTGTGGAGTTTAACTTGTGATGTGACTCCTAGGAGGAGAGGAGGCGCATGAAGGAGGTCATGGAGAGGAGGAGGAGGAGGATGGAGGCGGCAGAGAGGATGAAGAGCCTCAGTATGTCCAGCGTGGACGGGGACGAGGTCTTCAGTCCCAGAAGTCCCACTCACAAGGTGAATATCAGGAGACTGCGTTCTGTTCTGACCAACAGAAGATTCAGATACAGTCATGTGAGATGTTTGCAGCTGCAAAGCTTCTGAGCAGGAATCCAGAAAAGTCTTAATATCATAATATCAATAACGTGGTTAAACTCTGCAGAAGCAGATCTCATTCACACCAGTGAACATCGCGTTCAAGCGAGATACAAACGGTTCCTGTCATCTGTGAAATGATGCATGTAGTGGAGCGCAGAGGCCAGACAGGAAGTGACATCATGACTTTGGCTCTCCGTGATGATGTAAACTGGGATGATTTTCAAATCGAGCCTGATGACTTCACATCACACAGGAAGTACTGCGGTGTGACGAGGACGCGGTCCATTAAGACTCGTTGCTGATTGACTTCAGTAAACAACATAACTGTGTTATCTTCACAGCCGATGGGTTCAGCTGTGTGTGTGTGTGTGTGTGTGTGTGTGTGTGTGTGTGTGTGTGTGTGTGTGTGTGTGTGTGTGTGTGAGAGAAAAGCATGTTGTGAACTCACTGATTTTGGTGTGTGTTTGATTGGTGGACAGTGACCTCCCCACAGTGCTGCAGGTGGACTCTTTCACTGATGAACAATTCATATTTTCTGATCTTGTGCAATAATAAACACAACACTTTGTTATGTTGCACTCACACATTTTTTTCCACATTGAAATAAGCGTTTACAGACAAACGTAAGTTTAAACATAACTTTACACGAGTCATCCACATGAGAACCAGACTTTGAACTCATTCAAACATTGAGTTGTGTTAAAAGTCCACTTTAAAGATGAAACATGTTTTTCTGTCAAATACGCACAATTTGACAGAAGATGAATCTGTAGATAAAGTTCTAATGCTCACATGTATTTGTGAGCTGAGTAGACGGATGTGGAGGAAGTACAGTAAAGTAACTCGCCAGTAAAACTTGAAACTGAAATACAAAATGTAAAGATGGGATTAATTAAAAACCTAATTTGCTTAATTTAAAGCACCTGACAACAAGCTGAGGAAGCAGTACAATCACACGTTGTACATCCGTCTCATGCTCCGTTTCCCATCATGCTTTGCTTCGACAGCTGCTGCGATGACTCGTACAGTTTGATGGAGGCCAGAAGACTCGGCTCTGTTTGTGTTGGGGACGAGTCGTTGGCCGAACTGTAATTAACAAACGAGGCGGCGACATGAAAATAAATTTCTTCTTCTTTTTCAGATCTCAGAGAGAACTGAGTCGCTGAACCGCTCGCTGAAGAAAAGGTGAATATCTTCATCAATAGTGTCTCCTCTCCCTCTGCTTCATGGCTCTGATGAACTCCGTCCAGACGCAGTTTTCTATATTTGTTTTGGTGGTTGTTGAAGTTTGGAGGCTAACAGGAAGTCTGCAGCGCTCAAGAGTTATGCTTTTATTTTGAAATGTGTTCAGAGGAGGAAGCTGAAGCAGCAGCGTTGGTGCCTCGTTCTCATCTCTTGTCACTTAAATATAATGTAATACATTTTACATTTTAAACTAAAAAGGTATTAAACTTACTCTGGGTCTTGATCCAAACGTGTGAGATCAGCTGCGTCTCTGATGTCATCCCAAGGTGTGGATCCTCGGTCACTGATCTGATCCTGAACCTGTTTTAACTGTTTGTGTTTCATGTTGTCTTGACTGAACCAGTAACAGCTTTAAGAAGACGCAGACTCTCGTCCTGCTGCCAAAGATCGACGACAAGCTAGAGCAGTACGCACACGCTGTGGAGGTCAGCTCACACACACGCATACGCACACTAAAACATAGCAGAGGCCTGTCAATCACTGTGTAGTCCCGCCCTAAAGCATCCCCTGCTTTATGGTCTGTTTGACTCTAAATGGACCATAATGTACTAAATGAACATCATGCTGTATTGAAGAAGACTTGAAACTAGAGATTGAGACCATAAACTCATGTTTACAATGTTTACTGAGGTAATAAATCAAGAGAGAAGAACTTTTAATAAGTCGGATATAACTCATTAACTATGAGCTTCATGCTAAGCTAAGCTAACAGGCTACTGGTTGTAGTCTTATATTTAATGGACTGACATCAACATCGGATTGTGTTTCCTCTTAAACTCTCTCTGGTGTTTTCTGCACACTCAGAAGCTGCTGGTGAGCTTTTGGACTCTCATTGTTTAAAACCAGCCGAAGGTTAAAGAGCAGCGCCGACCTTTTTTGTGTCGAGGTCGCACGTCTCCGTCAGCGCCGGGTCGATGATGCTACAGCGCTCTGTTGTTATCTCAGACAGAAATATATATATATATATAAATACGATATCCGGTCCCTGTTTCCACTCCTCACCTCAGGCCGACGCACCACACGGTGAACAACGAGGTTAATGCAAAGACACTTTTATTTAAGGAGAGCTTCTAAAAACAGAAAGCAGCTTCGACATGAAGTGCAATAAAATACAGGTGTTGAGAAGGAAGAATATTCTCCCAATAAACTAGTGTTGAGATGTTCTTTATATCTTCTTCTCACATTGTTCACCTATGGCGCTTTTCAGTACGGAAGTCCAAGGATGCCAACATTTCATCAAACTGAATGCTGAAGTTTAGTTTTAATTTTCTTATTTGAAAGTGCAGAATTGGTACCAAAATTATAATTAAATCACACTGACTTATTGGGAACGAGATTGACGGAGAAAGCAGAGAACTTAAACCTGAAAATAAAATTGGAAATTTGAATTTTAAAGTTGAATTGTGTCCGCTTTTAATTTATTTATGATGAAAATAAAATGGTCATATTAGCGAGATTCAGGACAATGAGGCTTCACAGTCGAGAAAAATAAAACACGACTATGACAAAGTTTAACTTTATTTATTTTAGTTCTCAACTATAAAAGTATTTGACTTAATTTTAATTTATAATTAATATATGATGGCATAGTTACCTTCTGTCCAACCAGAAGTAAGTATTCTCCGTGGACATATAGCTTGAAACATGAAATTTACGAGGTTTTCATATTACACGTTTACTGTACACTAACCCACGGTTGTTTGTTGTCGTTGTTGTTGTTGTTGTTGTGCAGAACTCCCATGAGGTCCGGGCAGTGAAGGCATCACTGGCCAACCTGCCCAGCTCACCTGAGGTCGTCACCTCCAAGAAAAACCTGTTCGAGGCCGGTGAAGCCTGGAGCCAGAGTCCCACCAAGGGAGCCACCTGCAAGGTAAGAAACCCCCCCCACACACACACACACGCACACCAAATCCCATTTATTTGGAAGCCATCTTTCCTTTCACCTGACAAGATATTTAAGCATCACAATGACTTGTGGGGTTTTGTCTTTCATCTTATTGTTTTGGCACTAATGGGCTTCCATAGTTTAACCGAAACTTTTCTGAACCAGGACGCTGAGGGGCTGAAGGTGGGCGTGGCCAACCGGATCACTCAGTGGGTGAAGGGTCCGTCTGACGGCAGCAGACAGTCGGCCTGCAGACCGACAGTGAGTCACAAACACAACGTGAAAATAAAGTAGTTAAAAGTCTTCACATCAATGCTTCAGAATAAATAATCTAATAATGTCACATAGAATCAGATCAGTCACAGGAGACATGTACCTGCACAATGAGTACTTCTACTGCTGGTACTCTACGTATGTTTTGATTCTGATGGTGTCTGATCCAACACCATGTGATGAGATGTGTTCAGGTGCAGCTTAAAAGTCAGTAATATGAGGTTTCCCTCTTGTGGAGGAAACGACAACATCAAAACAAAAGTCTTCCTCTGCTTCAACTTTGAAGGATTTCTCTTACTTCTTTTATTTGAGAAATAGTTCATTTATTTCATAAAGTGGACCAGAAACAGACTAAAGTTTAAATAGTTTAAAATGTATGGAAAAACATTGAGAAACGGTTGGAAAATAAAAAAGTAAAAGTTACTTTTTGGAATCCTTTTTAACTTAAATACACACGTAAGTATTTGTATTTATCTTTGTTATGTATCTTGCATGTTACCACTAAACAGTGAAAGACAGAAACTACTGTTTGTTTAATCTCTACACTGGAACTATTTCTTGACAAACAGCAGTGTATCCCTCCGCCTACTTCTGTGAGCTCAGGTCTTTGGTTTTGGTCTCTGGTGAAACACGATGCGACTAAAGCTGTCGTTATAGTAAACAAAAGACTCAATAAATACATGAATATATCAAATAAAACGGAAAGAAATGAACGCTTATAATGTCAAACAAATGTGCAGATAATTGAGGAAATTCATAAATGGAGAAATCATAGAAATAAAAAGGATGTATTGAATTGAACATTAATCTGACTGAATTACAAAATAAGTAATTTGTCAAATAATCAAACATTTTCTTTCTATTTCAGTCAATATGTTTATTTTCAAATTAATAATTGAGGCTTTTAGTTCTGCATTGCCTACTTTATTGTTCATTTATTTATTTCTTCATTTATTTATTATTAATAACAAACTTAATCCTCTCTAGAATGAAGCTGAGCCAGGCTAGCTGTTTCCCCCTGCATCCAGTCTTTATGCTAAGCTAGGCTAAGCTAAGCGCGTCCTGACTTCGGATCTGATCTGATTTCCCAAAGATGTTGAACTATTCCTTTCTTTTTATTATTATTTAGTTGTGTCTTCTGAACACAGAATGTTGACGTGTTTGTATTGATTATTGATCGATCTGTCAGGATGTGAGGCCCGGAGATGTGATGCAGAAAAAGAACATGTGGGAGGTTATCGGAGACTCGACAGGAGGGCCGGGCCAAAGAGACAAGGTGCGCACGCGCACGCACAAATTCAAATGAATATTCCAGATGAACTTTTATTTATTTATTTTTTATAGTTATTTTTCTTCATTTATTTCAGTTCATTTTATATTTTTATATGCGGATGTTGCCTCTATTGTGACAAACACTTAATAGTATGTGATTATATCATAATTCAATAATCGGAATACAGTTTTTAATCGCTACATTTTATTAAAGTACATTTTTTAATTTGTTATTTTTTTCTTCACACTTTTCCTCTGTGATCCTCTTTTATTATTGACATCATGAACAGATTGATTTGATTGATTGACTCTTGAGTTGCTATCAAAGGTACATTTCCCTGGTACCGGGTACAGGATGAATAAAGTTCTTGTCTTGATACAGCGTTTTACTCTACAATTGTTACAGGATGATTAATAAGTGAATAAACATGTAAGGGAACTGAAATAATTGATCTTCTCTCCTTTAGAGCTCAGCAGCTGGTAAAAAGTACAAGTTTGTGGTCACTGGTCACGGAAAATATGAGAAGATCCCCACGGACGGAGAGTCTGGTGAGAACGTCGGAAAAGTGTTTTTATCAATGAAATCATGTCAATACTTGAACATAATTTAAGTTTTATTCCTCTTGTGGGGTTTCATAAATACAGCGGCTCAATAAATGAAGAGTCATCATTAAACGTTTTATCCTTTCTGAGCTGATCAGGATATCTGAGGAGGAGAATCAAAGTAAAGAGTCCGATAGAGATGGAATATGACCAGTTATGAAAGAAAAATGGAACAAAATCTGTAAATTGAGCAGTGCAACCTGTCCTTGAAGGTGTAATGACAAGGGGTCGTGTGATATATTTGATTTAGATTAAATCACAGATCCATTTAAGTAAACTGTGAGAGGCCAGAGTGCAACTTTAATCAGCCTCAGCTGATCACTTCTGACCTGTCTCTGAGCCTCAACTCATTCAACAGCTGAATCTGATCTTCATCTGATTCTGATGTTTGAACTGAAGCACAAACTGAAACAGAGAGAAATGTTGAATCAAACTTTATTCCGCAGCACGTTTGTTTGTTAGTGTTTCACAAGAAAACAACACAGATAAAAGATGACTCAAACATTAATCACAGCTAGTAAAATACACCTTCAGCATTATTTCATCGTGCAGATGGACTGTAAGGCTCATCAGTTTTATTTATTATTTTTAAGAATAACTTTCTTTTTTTTTTTTTTTTTTTTTTTTTTGACATGTGAATGTAAAGTTTTATTAAAAAAATGTAATAGTTTTGAGACTAGTTTTTATAATGTTCTACTGGACCTTGAGATTTTTTTTAGTTTTTTTTTTTTTTTAGTCCAACATTGTGAGCTAGAAAACTGTGGAGGCATCTTACCCATCGCACACATTACAAACATTAGAGAAAAAGAACAAAAATAAAACTAGAAGAATACACTGTTTTTCCCGCACTGCTTCACAGTCATCTAACTATGAATATCTTGACCTTTGACCCCACAGTTCACCATCATTCTGCTCTTCATTGTTCTTCTTCTAACGTACGTTAACTTTAAGTCAGTCGGCTCCTCAAGTCACAGTGAAATCAAACATTTTGTTAGCGGCTCATTTTTCATTCTATTTCTAAATTGGAGTTTTAGGGAAACTTGTAGAAACTTGCACTTTATTTACAGTCTTCCGTTTTATATTTTTAGATGATAGATTAACGTGATTGGTGTGAGAGGACACTAATACATTCATACATATTTTCGTGCAGAGATTGCCAACAAAATTGCCATTCTCTCTTTTTGCATCTCACTGACTCTAATTGGTGCATTTCTTGTACTTCTTTAATTGATCTGCGTTATTATGTTAAAGGTACGTTGTTGGAACAGGAAGAAGGGCAAATTATGACGCTGCCAAATTGTTGTTTTCATTGCGACGTTAAGAAAGTTCAATCACAAAACTATAACCATCTACAGCCTAAAAAGAATATCTCAAGAATCACGTTTCTCTACGCACGAGGTTTTCACCCTGAGGTGAGTAGCACCATTTAGAGTTTTTGAATTTCAATGATCATTAAAGAGAAACAAATGTTCCTCTACCACAAAAAATACTTGTTTTCCACCAATAAAAATAGACATTTTAAAGAAATATCAATTATTACAAATCTATAACTTTAATCTGTTTTATTGTGAACATGAAAGAAACGAGAAGCTCTGATTTTACTGAAAACATAAACGTTTTAATCTTAAATGTGACGTCTGAATGACTTTAAGACAAATGTAGCTGTCTCTCTCTTTCAATCTTTCCAGCTAATCCACAAACACGTAACATCCAGACAACCACTCACACAAATGCAACACGAAGCATTTGTCAAGTATAAAGTTCAAGCCGACTTTTTCTACAAACAAACGTTATTCGTTTAACACAGAGACTAAGATTTCTGCAACTGTACATTGAACATGTATCTTTTTTTCCTTTACATTTTCATCTTGGCAGTTATATATTATATATATTTAAGAATATTATATTACCTTAAGTAGCGGCAAACCCCCTCGCTTTTCTATTAAAGTCTTTTGGTTCCTCGTCTTTACCTTTGCGCCCAATCAGAGCCATTTCAAAAACAGTTGCAATTTTCATCACCGGCCTCGACGCCGCTTCTTTGAGCCTTTTAGCGTCAAACTTTGGACTAAAAAGCAGCAGAGGCAGCCGGTGCGCAAACGAAGGTATCTCTTTTGACTCGTCCTTTTGCCCTTCCTCCTTCTCCTCCGCCTCGCTTTTGTTCAGCTCGATCTGGTGCATGATGTTCTCTTTGGTGGAAAACATTTGGAAGAGGACGGCGTTCCACATCTTTGCTGCTACGGGAGCGTCTTTGGTTTCGTTCTCGTCCTGATTGCCGGGCTTGTCGACGGCCTTCTCGTCGGCCTTTTGCACCTCGCTCTGGTCCGGCCCATTGGCCTCCTTCTGAGAGCTTATCTCTGGAAATTTTGGCTCCTCTTGTTCTACAACCATGTGCTTCTTGAGTCGGGACCAACCGCTCACTTTAGATTTCATGCCCTTTGGTTTTTGTATGACCTTAAGAAGGGGTTCGGCCGGGAGGGATTCATCGCCTTCCTTTTTCTCAGGTGCAGATTTAACTGCCGAAGCTGATTCTGCTTTCTTATCTTTGCCTTCACTTCCTGTTGGCTCAACTGCAGATGTCGGAACAGGAAGAGCGGGCATTGCAGTGCTTTGCTTCGAGCTTTCGGCTTTAGTCTTGGTGGCGGCCGCAAGTTTCGCCGGCTCTTTTTGATGTGAGACGTCAGCTTTTGTCTCATTTCCAGATTTCTGGACTTTATCTTTGCCTAAAAGCTTTCTTACTGCCTTCAAAGGACCCTGATCGTTACTTTTGGGCAGAGGATGTTTGGTTTCCGAAGGTTTCGTCTTTGGTTTGGCGACTTCCTGAACTTGTGTTTCGGCTTTCTGTTTCTCAAGAGATTTACCCTCTACTGTTGGAGGTATAGCCTTTGGTGTTTCTTGAATCACCGTTTTTTCTTGTTTTGCTGCAACCCGACAGGTTACCGTACTTGTCTCTTGTGTTGACGTTGTTCCTGAGGTGTCAGATGCTTCCGAAACAACAATAGTAGGGATTGAAGGGGTGATGGCAACTTTTTTATCTCCCACATGGGGTTTATCTACATCTTTGGGTTTAGAAACCTCGGACATCTTCACAGATTGTTCTTGGCTGGTTGTCTTACATTCTGCTGATTCCTCTGTTGTAGCTTTAGCCTCCTCCTCAGTTTGCATCTTGAAACCGGAGATACCAAATGCTGGAGAGTAAGTTCTTATTCCGCCATAAGCAGCATATTCAGCTGGTGTCAATCCACGGTAGCCAGACTTTGACTTTTGAGCCACTTGGGTTGGGGTTTTAGGTCTCTGAAAGGCTATAGGGGATACACCAGAAGGTGATGTCCCATATGTTGGTGTCTTTGGTCTTTTAAAGCCAGGTGACGTGGTCATAAGTCGGGAGGCTTCGTATGTTGGAGTCTTGGGCCTCCGATTGCTGTATGAAGTCACTACCAGTGCTTTCGGCTCAGGTGTTGGAGTTTTAGGTGTTTGAGAGTCAGCTGGAGCAGTTCTTCTTGTCAGATCAGGCTCTGATTTGGACTTTGTGATGCTTTGTTGGATTGGTTTTACAGCAGGAGTGATGTCTGAATGAATGTCCCCATTCAGTATCGTTTCAGCAGGCTTAGGTTCAATAGTCTTGACACTTTGGGAAGCAGACAAACTTCCCATAGCAGGAACAGTTTTGGGCGTTCTTGATCTCTCTGGTTCTACTGTGATTGGCGACACTGCAAATAAGAGAGGATTGGGTCTTGATACTTCAAAGACAGGCGTTGTAGGGCGAGACAAGTGGTATGCCGGGGTTCTAGGTCGTCCTGCTGAAGTTCTTGATGTTTGAAACTCAAAAGTTGGTGTTTTAACTCTGATTTCAGGTGATGGAGTAGCTCTTTTGATTTCAGCTGTTGAGGTTGCTCTTTTGATTTCAGCTGTTGAGGTTGCTCTTTTGATTTCAGCTGTTGAGGTTGCTCTTTTGATTTCAGCTGTTGGAGTTATGACTGCATTCATCGCCGCTGTTAGTGTAGTGCCTATTTTAGTTTCTGAAGTTGCTGTTTTCCTCTTGGGATCCGTGCCCATTGAAGGAAGCTGAGCCGTCGGTGTCTTACCTCTTCTGACCTCAGATGCTGAAGTCAAATCTAGTTTTATTTCTGTTGGGGTTTTACTATGAGGCAATGTGCTGCCAATAGCGGTTAATCCAGCTGTGTCATACACCGGTGGGGTCCTGGATAACTCGTAAAACGATGTGCTAGCTGTGTACATTCTAATTTGAGGGACATCAAACATCGGTTTGGGCGATCTAGAATGTTCGGTTGCTCTGAACGTTGGACGTGGACTTTTGGATCTGCCGTGCAGGGTCAACACAGTGAGAGGACGAATCACAGCTGTTGCTGAATAAGGAGTCAGACCTGGACTTTTTGTCTTTAGGGTTTCTCCAGCTGTAGCAGGTCTCACACCGGCATGTGTTTCAGCTATCGTGCTAAAAGCTGGCTTTTTCACTTCAGCAGCTGGTACTGTTGCCTCAGATACAAAAGAGGCTGACAGAGATATTTTGGGAACCACCAACTCTGCAACTGGCCCTGGAACTGTGTCTCCAGGAAGGTGGGTCGATGCAGAATATGAGGAAAGCGTAGTAACATGCTGCGAGTACGAGTACGACGGGATTCCCACCGTCTGAGGTGAGAACCTCGCTCCTCTGCCGTAAGCAGCACGCTGCGGGTAAGGGGACGCCACGTGTTGATACAGCGGCCTGACGGTGAACCGTGGAGGCTGCTGATCACTGTAGAGGCTGAACGGCGTCTCTGGAGTCTTGGGCGGGGTGGAGTGGTCGCTGTGTTCGAGGTCGGGGCTCGCTTCGTTCACGGGGGAAAGGTTGGAGCGGAAAAGCACGGCGGGCTGCGATACCTGAGCGGAGACCTTTTTCTTGGCGCTTCTCTTGAGGACCTTCCGAAGCCGAACATTGTCCTTTCCAGGCTTTGGCAGCAGGGGTGGGGGGTAATGCAGGGAAAGCAGGCCCGGCTGGGCGAGGGCACCGTATGCGACAGCCATGAGGGCTTCAGCACGCTGTGGAGAGAAAAAAACTGTCAGAATATATAAAGAATATAATAAGTTCAGGCCAAATTGTCTGACTTCCAAGACTAAATCTCTGGCCCTGTACTTCACTTTTGCTGCTACGATCACTGCAGCTGTACTAATATGTTTAAATTATTCATATTTGTATTATTTGCATGTCATGTTGGCAGTGAATTTTTCAAGTTTCAAAAGGTTTTAAAATGTCTTTGTGAACTTTTTCTCTGGAGCAAAACTAAACCGGTCTTGCAGCTTTTCAGTAGGTTGAAAGTTGCTTTTCTATCGTCGGATGTTTTTTTTTTTAAAGATCATATAAACATCCCAAAATGTGTTAACAGGAAATGCAACAATACTCTTTCAAATCTTAGTTGATAAAACATTTATGAACCAATAAAACCTAAAAGTTAAGAAAACTAATAAAGGTAACTAAACTGACATTTGGACCACTTTAAAACATCTGCATATTTAACTATTTTTTATTTTTGTGTCTTTTGCAGATTTATATCATGACTACTGAGGAGGCGTCGTCTCTTCAGCTCTGTCAGTAGCAGCAAGACTCAATATTTCATTTATATCCAATAAATCACTTTCTCTGACTCAGTTGGACGACTACAAACCAACAGCTCAAGTGCAAAAGATTTGATCGCCAAATGTCGATAATGTTGTTAAATTTCCTCTTGTATTTTCTGACATTCAGTTTTTATTATGATGTATATATCTGACTCTGTATTCTTCTCTACAGTGTTTAGCTGAACCTTAATATCCGGTTGATCCTTGTATGATGGTGTGTAGGGAAACCTAAAAGTCTTTTGAATAGAAAAAGTTTACATTTTCCAGTCATGTAATTGATGGATCACAATTTTTTATATATTCTGTTCTGCACTTAAACTTTTGGCTTAAGAACAATCTGAATGGTTGATTTTGGGAACTTTGTCCAAACCTGTTACAGCAGAGTTCATACTGATGATAATTATAACACTGAAAGTATGAAAACTGAGATTTTAATGTCTTGGCTCACTTGTTGCAGCCCAAACATAGACATTGATTTGGTATCTGTTACATTTCAGCATTTATTACCTGATCTATACAATCAAACTATTGCTTTGTCTCTGTACTACTGCAGACGTTTCTCACGTTTAATATCCATGTACTGAGATTTCTATTTGTTTGTTTTTAATCCTTTTTCTTAAATAAATAAAACAATATTTTCTAATGTAGCTTTGATCTCCATTTTGTTTTTATATTTGTTTAACTATCAACTGCAGCCTGAACACGAGATGATACCCTCTACATCTGAAATGTTCAATAATGTAAGTTTTGTCCAGAGCAAAAAATCCTCAACAGGCTGCATTTCCATTAAAGTATCGATTCATGGTCCCCAAAGGATGATCTTTTATCATTTTGGTGACCCATCGAACTTTCCTGTAGCACCACTATCGGGCTAACATTCCCTTTACTACACAAGAAATATCAAAATGTAATTTTTGGATTACATTCGTGCTCCAAAGAGGATGAACCCTTAATGTGTAATGACTCCATGACACAACTGTAGCCATTGATTTAAGCTGAAAACGTCAGATCAATGAGAAATCCAAACGAGCTTTGTTATCTCGAGATGATGGCATTAAATAAAATGATAGCATGCACAGCTGTTCACTGCCTCCGCACTTTGACACTAGTTCACCAAACGGCTTTGTATTTCAGCCTGGTGATGCTAAAAACAAAAAACAAGTTATTAAGGGCTTTACAAAAAAAGCCATCAGAGTTAAATATATGATAAATCAAATGAAATGCATTTTTTTAGTTTTAGTAATCAAATGCAGTAAAAGCACAGAATAAATACAAATCAAGTTTACAAAACATCTGTCCTATCAACTCCGATGCACTGAGGATGACTCGTGTTTGTTGGTTATTACAGCCAGAGATCAGCAGGAGAATCGAGCTGAACTCTTCCTGGATGATGTTACCGCCTCACAGCTGATCCGCTGAAGCTTTGCACTCGGACTAATTTTAGTTTGAGGAGTCGCTGCCAATCACCCGCTTGGCTTTTTTTAAGACTCCTGGCATTTCACAGGTCGCATCACTTTTCCCAAAAACACAATAAATCAGAATGCTGTGAAGCAGATCAGATGGAGGCAGGCCGTCAGAAACGAGCTCCACGTAAGAGGAGTACTGTGAAAGACGAGGGTAAAATAACTGATATTATATTTCAGCATCAACTGCAGTTGACATGTATTGTTATGAGTGCAGCATCTTTCTGGTATGTTTTCATGTAGGCAGCTTTGCATGTCTTTAGGATCCATTTAGAGTTATGATCCATGCTCAAAATGTATAAAATAATGACGGTTTTTGGTTTAATTTTGGGTGACAATGCCCAACAAATGGTAAGAAAATGTCAATTCGTAACGTTAAAAATGTGTAACTTCAGTTGTCTTTTCCATACAAGTTACGCCCAAATAAAATATTGAAGAGAAGAAATATTTAGGTGATTTATCTGTTGTTGGAGGCACCAGTAGTGGAGCTAAAGACGTTGCTGGAATACGGTTAGAAAGTTTTATATTTTTTTGTGTTAGTTTGTTTGTTTATGTATTTTGCAGGGACAATGCACACCAATCAACAGTTGGACTGTAAGTGAGCCACAGTCAGCCAGAGAGGCTCATTTTCATCTGCTGTCCCCGGCCAGATGTTTGAAGGCAGCCTAAAATTCATAGACAGACGGACGGCAACGTACAGACAAAACCAATACACATATAAGCAAAGTGGGAACCTATCCTGATGACAGTGGTACATGAGTGAGAGGAGGTCAACAAAATCCTCAAGATTCATCTTCTGGGACCATGAACATCCAAATCTAGATCATTATAATGATGCTCAAGAAAAAGTAATTAAAATCAAAATGGTTCATCCTCTGTGGTGCTGGAACATGACAAAATGTTTCGAGCCAATCTGCAAGTTTTTATCTTCATGTTTTTTGGATAGTGGAAAATGTGACATGATGCTACAGGAAAGAGAGGTCAACAGAAACCAATAGGGTCCATCCTCTGGGGACTATGAACGTCCAAATCCAAATGTATTTCATGGTTAATTTAATGGAAATCTGGCTAATATTCCATCCCTCGCCTATTGTTCCTAAACCTTAAATGTGTTGTGTTATTTGTTTCTGAAGAGGTAATGTTCTATCTATATTAAATGTTTGATATTATATATCAGAACTTTGTAGGCGGTGAGGTTACAGGTTTATTTTCACGGCTGGGGTTCAGCTTCGTCAGGATCCTCTCGTTTCTCTTCCCACATAAACCCACTCATTTAGATGTGTGTGTGTGTGTGTATATATATCTGCTGAGGGGGGAAAGTGAATGCAGAGCATGTGACCTCATGACATCACAGCCCGGCGACACTGGTCAGAAACATTGAGTAACACCCAATCACACGAGAGCACAAGAATGTAACGTTCAAGGATGGAGAAACTGAGAAATTTGGTGGAACTTTTCTGTTTTTGTTTTTGTTTCCAACCCCGCTGAGAAATGTCCTTTATGTAAAAATAACATTTGTGCAATCAGGATTCAGATATACGTTTATGGTAATAACTGACCATGCAGTCTGTACAAAAACAACTGTTTAATGTCCTCAGTTTATTCTGTGTGTCACCTCAGTGAAATGTAGGCCGGAGCTGGTTGTGTTTTTAAACCTCCAATCCTCCCACCTCCCTCCCTGAACCTGATGCCATCCGACACATGAGAGCCCACCATTCCTTTTAAGGCTCTGGTAGGTTCGGTATTTAGACCGCCTTCAGGATGCAAGTTCAAAAGAGGAAAGGGTAATAATAGCCGTGTAAGAAAAAACCAAGCTAGTCCACAATGGCCTCCTTAAGTGAATAAATCCACCACAAAAGCAGACGAAAGTTATGATGCTTCACAACACAAACAGTTTTTAGATGGAAGAAGAAGGAACCTACCAGGTAAAAACACTTGTTGCCGATGTTCAAAGCACTCTAGGCAGGTTCCCCTTGAAAGGACAGGAGAGAAGATTCAGCTTCAATGAGAGAATATCAAACTTGTATTCTTCATAATTACACAGCAGGAAGATTACAACTCAAAGTATCAGTCATGCCTCATTCCAGATACATGACAGACTGTGTTGTGGAGCCACAGGGAGGAAAAGAGAGTGTGAGGCTAACACTTAGCACAAAACACCCCGACACATGTCAGATCTCTGGCTGCAGAGGTCGGGGGGCAGATGGGGGGGGGGGGGGGGGGGAGTCTCTTTTCCTCCCTGTGGCTCCACAACACAGTCTGTCATGTATCTG